TGGGGAGTGATTTTGAGGGCGAGAGATGGGTCCGGTGATTGAGATCCCTGCCCGCCCGGCCCCCATTGCCAGGCCTATGCAAGACCCGTAAAAATTGAATTCTTTCACTTAATCCTTGACCTTTCAAGACACTCGGGACTTGGAGACATCAATTTTCTATTTCCTTCCTCAAGCCGCCACTCTCAATTATTATGTTGAGTATAACCATAGCTAATCTCTATTGGCCATAAGACAATTACCTTTCATCCTACCCTAATGCCCTTAGTAACCAATAAAATATCAATTGTTTATGGTTAACTCACGGATAATTGATTAACTTTAAACATTAAAACAGCTGACCCTGGACTTGTGTTTAATAATTTCTTTTTTCTTTTTTGGATCCAAAGATCAAACCATTTGCTTATTTGGGGAAATTATCAGAGATAGCGAGGCATCTATATGCCTAATGACAATTAAATAAGCCTTAGAATTCTCTTGTTACGCTACACTAGACCCAGAAAAGATTGATTAGAACACAAGATAGACTGCAGATGAGAAATAATGGTAATATCTTATAAAGCTAGTGAGAAAATTAAAACATCTATATAATCTTCATTAATTTGCTTACCCTCAGATTTTTAACCCTCAAATTATAATAGCAATTTTGTTTTTGATTTTGTGTTTTTTTTTTTTTTTTTTAAATCTGAGGTAGGCCTGGGCCTATCCTTAGAGAGTCTGGATCCGCTCCTGCCTGTCCGTAGTACCATTCTACACACTTCCTTCCCCACGCCTCTTTCTAGAGCATATTTATACTTGCCTACTTAGAATCCCTTCATGTTTTTTTTTAATTTTTAATTAATATATGAATTAAGAATTATATCTATGAATTTCAGACAAAGTTTTGAAAAATTTACACCTATCAATAAGCTTTTGCTTTTAATTACTACACCCCCTATTTCATCTTTTGTTGTTCACAAACATATTAATTGAATCATGAAAATCAATCAATATTAAATATATTAACCATAGAATTAATTAAATTCAATAGATTGAAGATATAATTAATAGACAATTTAATTGAATATTCGAGTTAATATAACATTACAATTGGTTCAAGAAAGGATTGCCATATTAAAGTATCAAATGGATAAACTTTTTGATAAAAACTTCACACATATTTTTTGATGGAATTGGCCTACACATTTGTGAGGTTATAATTTTATACCATAAATTTGAACTCCAGGATTTTATACAGTTTACTGATGATCTCACTAACTAAAACCTCCAGCCATAATTTGACATGGAGCTTGAAAATTCACATCCTTGAAGCCTGTTTTATTCGCATAGAAAGAGTTTCTGATCGATTATGTTGATTTTTTTTTTATATTCTTGTTTTTTGATTCACTACATTTCATCACTTTATGTTGTCCGAAGCAAACGCTTGTTGGGTTCCTTTCATTTTGTGAGCTTTGTTTGGATTTAGTATTAAAGTCTTTATATTTAGAAAATTTTCTTGACGGGCTGGTTCATTTTGTTGAAAGTTTTTGATTTTGTTGTTTGATTAATCACTGCACTTGACCACTTCATGTCTTGTTTGAAGCAAAAACTTGCTAGTTTCGTTCATTTTGTAAGCTTTGTTTGGTATTATCATTAAGTTGTTATTTTTAAAGAAATGCCTTAATGGTTTTTCTTCATCTGTTGAAATTTATTGATATTATATGTTGATTAATTCTTTTCATGTGACCACTTCATGTCTTGTTTTAACCAAAACCCTTACTGGATTGTTTTCATTTTGTGTACTTTGTTTAGTATATCATTAAAGTTGCTTATTAGCAATTCCTTTGGTGGGTATTGGTTGTGTTTATTTTTTTAAAGTTTTTGATATTTGTTGTCTTGTTAATCTTGTATGTACGTACTCTAAAGAACATGGTAAAGGAAATTATTCGCAATATATTTACACCTTACAAAGTCAATATTGTTTTGGTAACTCAGAGTGTTTGCTAAATGCCACACTTATAAAATAAAATAATAAACTTTTAATGAAATTGAATTTCTAATATGTATAGTTTTCAGTATTTCTTATTTCTATATTTTTATATTTAAAATTTTCTGTTTTTACTTCTAATTTGGTGTTTGGTAAATTGTTATTGTAGTGTGTTTTTGTGTGTTCAACTCCCCGAGTTTAATTTGCAAATGTAAATTGGGAAGGGGAAATTTAATCTTTTGAGCCAAGTTCTGTACCTTGAGCAAAATATATGGACCCTTTTGATCTCTTTTCACCTACATTTCTTTAGTGTTTTTTTTATTTGAACAAATTAGTTTCTTGGAAATCTTGATTGATTGCCATGTTGATCCGTAGAGCAAGGGTGCTTTTCCTTTTACTTTGTTGACTAGTGTGCGTCTAACACTTTTTCAAGTTTCAATGTGATTATTAAATTGTTTTACTTTGATTGTGTGGCTTATGGTGCTATGTTACCATTAAACTTCAAAATTGGATCCATTTACATTCAGAGTCTTTTAGCTTTTGTCCTGATGTGAAGGTTACTTGCACCGAAGAACAAGGTTGGTAATCGCTGGCATGCACCACTTTCACTGCGAATATGGCATTTGTAAGAGCAGTTTCACAAACTGGATGTCCCTTTTTACTGTGAAAAACCCATATTTGTTAAACTATAAATTATATGTGTACTGTGATCTGCATGCAATTATTATCAGACTTGAGTTTTGGCTTGTTTCATTTAAATGTGTGTGTACAATAGTTTGTACTCTTACTCTTGTTCATATATTTGTAACTGAAAAGTGAAAAAAATATGTTTATCTTTGTCTCCACTTTTTAAGATTTTTTTTACATATGTCATAATACCTTAAGTGGTCATAGGGAATAAAGTACTTTTTCCAATTTGCTTTGTGGCCAAACCAAAAAGAAGGAAACTTTTCTTATTTGAACAAACATGCGGCAGTTCGGTTAGCGAATTGACACTACATTGTTGAGCAATAAATCATTCATTATATAATACCCTTCTGTGTATATAATCTAACCTTATGACTTTTTGTTTCATTGTACTATGATTTTCTTAGAGTATTTTTCTCTCTCAAGGTTAAGGTTCAATTCCATATTTTATGTGAAAATCTCACCATATCAAACACGTTATTGATGGCTTTTGGAATGTGGTTTATTTGCTGATGAGGGTGCGTGACATTTGAAGCTTGGTGTTCACAAGCTGTTCACGTGTGGTTCCCGGTGTGAAGAGATCAAAAGGAGTTGCTACACGTTAAGGATTCAGAATGTGGTGCTAAGTGTAAGTTGAATAGAGTTCATTTTACTGTAACTTTGACAGCTTAGAACCATATCTTCTAATGTTTTTTAACTTAGTGGATTGCTTTGATCTGGACAAGGTCCCAGGGATGTAGTTAAAAGTGGATTTAGCCGAATCATGTATATGACTGGGTTATTATATTTCCGCACTTGTGTTTGATATGTTCAAATTGGAAATGCTTAATCTATTTGATAAATTTTCCGCTGTACTAAAATGGGTAACCACACTCACTAACGTGAGTTAAATCTCCAACTCTCTCCTTAACAAGTGGTATCCGAGCATTTTCTGATAAGTTGCTTCAGTTGGTCCTCACTCTTTTGATTATTTCCCGAAATTAGAAAGGAAAAGATTTTTTCCGAGCATGAAATTGGAAATTAGAAAGGAAAAATGATTTATTTCCCGAAAAAATTCACTGCAATTATTCTATCAATTTTTAAGGCTGCTATAACCTTTTGTTCACAGCAGAAGTACTACACTCCTGCCATACAATTTTTCTGAAATTTCTTGATTTCTTCTGTAAAAGTTTGATATATTATCATCAGTCTAATCCCTATTCTTCTGCCCATCTTTTGGTGAACTCAGAATCCACTACTAGAGCTGATTTTCCAGATTGTTTTTGGGAAAAAAAAAAAAAAAGCTTCTTCCAGCTTATACCAGGTACAGATCACAACCTAGCAAATGACTTTGAGAAATACGGGTTATCTATTCTTCTCTAATTTTTAACAGCTGAGTAAAGGAAGAGAATAGTTGTTGAATGATGATGGCTAGTGTCCGCATTTAATTTGAACAGGAATCACAAATTAAAGAAAAAAGAAGAAAATTTTGAAAAAGCCAACATGGTTAAGAATGGGAGGAGAAACAATGAATTAAGATTATTGGAAAAAAATATTGGAGTATTTCATAGAGCAGATGGGTGGTGATTAAATTAATGAGCTAATTAGAAACTGAAATTTGTCAATAGTTCAGTATGAAGAACCCTTAAGACACGGCAAAGAGAAATGAACATAATGATATTTCCTGGAATCATGTCTAATTGTCTAGTCCACAATCACAAATCTTTGATATTTATTTATGCACCTATCGTCTATCGTCATCATCTTCACTTCTCATCTCTCTCAACAATTAACATGTGGAGGATATCTTCAACTTTATTCTTCATTGCCTTAAAAACCTTAATACGCATTAATTGTTTTCTTGAACTCCTTTCCATTTTTCCTATAATCTATGCCATCACTGTTACGTACGATATAATATCATATTATATAACTTAACTTTTAATTCATTCACTACCATCAAAGAATTAAGATTGGATTTGTTTTTGCTTTTCGATTACTATTACAATTAGGATTAATCAACATTAAGAGACTTCTTTCCTATTTTTTGTCAAAGATGATACAGTAATCTTCGAACTCATTCAAGGATAACTTATTATCATTGAATTATATAGTTTAGAATTGTATTTTTATTAGTTTGATACAATCAAATTCAATTGCGCTGTTCAAGGCCTAACGTCCTCGTAATTATGTGGTAGTTTATACTATGAATTAATACTAAATGGTTTGTAAATAATGAGGTGTTACTGATTATAATTTTAAATTATATGATCAATAGAACTATTGAAGCACAAATCAGAAAATTTTAACAATAACATTCAATCGTGAACACCATTACAGATTGAGATAGATTATCTAGTAGAGAATAACGTGAAAAATATATGTTCACTGAAATTGAAGTACAGATTTATTTAGGCTAACAACAAAACATATCTAGAGAATAACGTGCTAAATGTATCTTCACTGAAAGTGAAGCACAGATTTATTTAGGCAAACAAAAGAGCTATATATGCAGCTGGTTCATACTTCAAGGGAAATTGGGTTCACAAGCAAGGAAGCGATGTCCTTTTTTAGTTTATAAGAGTTGGTGTAGGTATCATCATCCTTGTATATAATATCCATGGCCCTTGAAAGATTTAGAATGCGCTTTAGAAGGGGCGCTGGTACCGCTGTTGGTTTCAGGAACTCTTGATTTGTATCTTTCCAAGCATTTGAAATTTCTTTGCTGAACAGTTTAATTACTTCTTCCTCGGAAACTCCATGCTGTATCATGTAACATTCCACACCTGAGGCGACATGTTTTCTCTTTTGCTCAAACTGCAAATATAGATATATTCAGTTTAATTTAGAATAAGTTGGACCTTATCCGAGAAACCCAACGGAATTCAAAATTAAGTAATGTTAGATTGTACCTTATGGGACACTATGTCATCCATGAGTCTGCAAATAATTGTTGAAGCTGTGATAATTTTAGGGTCATTGGCGAGCCAATCAAAGGCCTTCTTATCAGCAATCTGGCCCATGCCGAGGAAAGAAGTTGTTGCCAACATTTTGTATGTAGTAGTTACAAGTGAAACCTTCAAATATTCCTCCACTGTTGGAATATAGCCTTCATTGCACCACTTGGCTTCAACAAAGTATGCTTGGACCAATGTCTTCATCTGGAACTCAAAAAGTTGTTATATTCAGGCAAAACAACCTCTTATTAGTTAAGTAAATTAGGGTCATTAAATATACAAATAGCTTGCCTCTTCTATTGCATAATCAATACAATATGATCTTCCTTCCTTTGAAATCTCCTCCTCAGCTTCAGTGTAAACGTCTAAGAGTGCCTGATAAATCAGTTTCATGTATTCTGGAAGTACATCTATAGTACTATTGTCCCACCTGAATATCAAGTAAAAACATTGCCATTCTTATTCTTATATAAGTGGAAATTAGTTAGGAGTTGATTAGCTAGAAAGAAAATAGTGATTAATTAAAAGGTAAAAGTTATAACTATTGTATATGAAGAATATTTTTCTCTAATATTTGACCTTTTGATAGCATCAGTAAAAAGCTCAAGTTCTTCACGGGTGCCATAGGCATCGTAAGTATCGTCTAGAAGGGATGCAATGGCTATTACTTTGGTCAGAATCCTTCTTGCTAAGGCATATTGAGGCTCAAAGTACACACCCATTATCCAGAAATAGAGTTCTACAATTCTGTCTCTGGCATATGGCAGCTTTGTTTCAACATCTAAACTTTTCCACCACCTGGGATGCAAGTCAATGCTTAATTTCTAGTAATTAATTCCATAAACCTTTGGTGTTTTGAAGTAGTTTAAGAACTTACTTGGTGATACTGCTTAGCTCCTTCTGGTGCTGTACCTGTAACATGTTGAAATCTAATGTAGCAAACTTCAGTATTGTTCGATTCTGTGGATTCGCATCTCCTGAGTAGATATTGATGTAATGCCTTGCCTCCATTCTTGGTAATCCTTTGCGGATGGGCCTGTTCAAGGCACGAGTTATTTGTTCTGCAAGCTCAGCACTTACTTGAGTAACCATTGACTCAAGGTGAGCTTTTGTGAAAGCTATAGCTTCATCCAGGACATCCTCTCCACGTATGCCAATATGCGCAGCCTCATACAGACTTAGCATGCCCGATACATCATTGATTAAGGATTCCTTGAACTTTCCTCGTTCATCTTTAAATTTGATAAATATATCTGTTTAATGATGAAAATTTTATTATCCAAAGAGCATAGGTTCAATTCAGGCAAAAATTAATATATATATATATATATATATGAAAGTATATAACCACAGGAACATGTATCCTTGCTGTCTAAGCAACCGAAATCGCAGAGACCATTGCATAGATTCCTATCATCAGCGCAGTGTTCATGATATAGTTCTTCTAATGCTCTCATCTCTTTCTCGAAATGATAATCTACTCCCAAGCGTTGGACAACATCATCAAGCATAATTTCTGAAAAGTCTTATCGGTGGTTGAGATTAACATCCTTCTAACCTCTTGTTTCAGTCTTTGGAATTCTTGTTCAGTTGTAGCTCATGGTCTAAACAAGAATTTGACAGAGAAATTAAAAAAAAAAAAGGAAAAAAGTACGAACATAAAACAAAGATTAAGTAACTTCATAACTAAATGAACCATGAATTAATACAAATACTGATCTTATCTACTTTAACTTGGTAAACTAATAGCAACATATTAATTTGATACTAGAAAGATCATAAAAACCAATATTTCAATACTCAAGACTAAATGATGAATTAGTATACCACAAAATCAGAAGCATATGAGAGGAAATGACTCCCCCAAATGCTGGATGATATGTAGTTGTAGGACGGTTAATATTATTTGTAGCAACGACTGCTAAACTTCTGCATGAGCATCCATTAATTTCTTCTTCTCTTGCAATTTGTTAGAAATAAGGTGAGCTAAAGAGTTTGATTTTTGTGCTTAAGGGGTTGTGTGAGCGAAGAGTAATGTTTATGAGGTATATATATAGGATTTCGAAGGTTGCATGGATAACTAGTCATCAAAGAAAAATCGTCATCTATGGACAAAGGAAAGAATAGAGAAAAGTTCACATCATGCAACAGTAATATACTAATAATATTGTTCGCATCAAAGTAAATATGTAAAACATGCTCTAACTTTTTGAATTATTGAAGTAATACTAATCTTGGGTGACACATACATGCAAATTGCCAATATCTATATGAATATTGAGTAGGGTTATTATGTAAAATGATGGAGCTTAATGAGTTTAATGATTTTTTTTGGAAAAATGAGGTGCATTTAATGAGTTTGGTTTTTGTGCCTAAGGGTTTTGTGATAATGTTTGTTGAGGTATTTATAGGAAATTTAGAAGGTTGCACGGATATTAACCGCTATGACTAATAAACTTTTGTTTTCATCAAAGCAATATGTCAGTGCTCTGACTAGGGGTGAGCACGGTAACGGATAGAACTGAATCGAGGGTAAGAATCGAAATCGGAATCGACCTACCCAGAACCTGCACTGTGCGGGTGGTTCCGGTTCCAATTTTGGAACCACTACTGTGCGGTTCCGGTTCCGTTCTTACCCCCGGAGGAATCGGAACCGGAACCGGAACCTGTAAAAGGGTACCCTGTTTGGACCTGTAGGGTACCCTGTTTGGAACCTTTTTAGAACCTGTTTTGGAACTGTTTTTGGAACCTGTTTAGAACCATTTTTGAACCTGACTATAATAAAATTTGTGAAAGTAAATAATGGGGAGTTTCTATTATTACATAAAAAAAATTTAAAATAGAAAAGTTAAATTTTTAGAATAACCTAATTAAATAAATATACGAATACAATATACTTATTACATATAAATTACACCATATTAAAAGCTTTAATATTTATAATACTTAATATTAAAGTTTTGATTAATTAAGTGAATAATTGGAATTTGATCCAATTAAAGTGTTTTACATTTTTAATGTTATTATAAGAATTATTTTTGAATAAAATAGTATATTTGATTGAGTAAATAATTTAGTTATTTACTTCAATTACAAGTTCTAAGTTATATTTATAATAAATTAATAATTAATATTATATATTAAATTGATAAACTTAATAAATTTAATTCTAGTTAAATATCATACTTAATCAATTATAACATTACTTATATGTAAATGATTACTTAATTAATTATAATTTTATAACATTACTTATGATTTAAGTATAATTAATTATAGCATTACATTAATTGATTACACTTAATTAATTGACTTTATTATAAACATTTGTGCAAACTTAATTAAGATTAAAAATTTAATTAATTATAATATTACATTAAAATTTATAGTATATTATTAATAGTTAATTCACTATAACATTACATTATAGTATGATTATAATTAATTATAACATTACATAATTAAATATTACTTAATTGATTATGAGTTATGATATTATTTTTTAAACATTAGTAATTACTAATTTGCTACATAAACATTAGCACAATACTTAATTAAATGATAAGAAATTTAATTATTATAACATTACCTTAAAACATTCATTATAACATTAATTAAACATTACATTATAGTTAAATATACTCATTAAATTATATATTATCATATTACATTATATATTATGATCACTTACTTAATTATAGCAATCATGTTAAATGATTACATAATTACATAATTAGTTTGAATTTATACATTACATTATAAACATTAGTAATTTACTAATTTACTATATTATTACATTACTTAATTAAACGATTAAAAATTAATTATTATAACATTACTTATATATTTATAATATATTACTTACAATTATAACATTCTATTATAAACATTAGTAATTAATCAAATGATTTGAAATTTAATTAATTATAATATAAATTATAGATTTATAGTATGATATTAATTCATTAGAACATTACATATACTATTATAGTATCATATAATATATAACATTACATATTAAAATATTCTTAATTGATTATGAGTTATGATATTATATTTTAAACATTAGTATTAGTAATTTACTATATAACATTAGCACAATACTTAATTGAATGATAAGAAATTAATTATTATAACATTCTTATAAACATTTCATTATAAACATTAATTAAGCATTATATATAGTTAAATAATTACTCAATTAAATTATTATTATTATATTATATTATATTATGATTACTTACTTAATTATAGCATTATATAGTTAAATGATTACATAATTACTTAATTAGTTATGAATTTATAACATTACATTATAAACATTAGTAATTTACTAACTATACATTACTTAATTAACGATTAAAAATTTAATTAATTTAAAATTACTTATATATTTATAATATGATTACTTAATCAATTATAACATTCCATTATAAACATTAGTATATTAATTAAATGATTTGAAATTAATTATTATAATATTAAATTATAGATTTGTAGTATGATTACTTAATTCATTATAACATTACATTATACTATTTATAGTATGATCATATAATTAATATAACATTACATAATTAAATAATTACTTAATTGATTTGAGTTATGATATTATATTTTAAACATTAGTAATTACTAATTACTACATAAACTTAGCCAATACTTAATTAAATGAAGAAATTTATTAATATAAGATTACCTTATAAACATTAATTAAGCATTACATTAAGTTAAATAATTACTCAATTAATTTAATATTATTATTTACATTATATATGATCACTTACTTATTATAACATTATATAGTTAAATGATTACATAATACTTAATTAGTTGAATTTAAACTTACATTATAAACATTAGTAATCTACTATACTATATTTACTTAATTAAACGATTAAAAATTTAATTAATTATAACATTACTTTATATATTTGTAATATTACTTAATCAATTATAACATTCCATTATAAACTAGTATTTAAATTACTGATTTGAATTTAATTAATTAATATTAAATTATAGATTTGTAGTATGATTATTTAATTCATTATAACATACTTATACTATTTATTATGATCATATAATTAATTAAACATTACTAATTAATGATTATTGATTATAGTTATGATATTAATTTTAAATATTAGTAATACTAATTTACTACATCATTAGCACAATACTTAATTAAATGATAAGAAATTTATTATTTATAACATTACCTTATAACATTAATTAAGCATTACATTATAGTTAAATAATTACTCATTAAATTATTATTATTATATTACATTATATTATAAACTTACTTAATTATAGCATTATATAGTTAAATGATTACATAATTACTTAATTAGTTATGAATTTATAACATTACATTATAAACTTAGTAATTTACTATACTATTACTTTTAATTAAACGATTAAAAATTTAATTATTTACATTCTTTAATATTTGTAATTAATTACTTAATCAATTATAACATTCCATTATAACATTAGTATTTTAAATGATTTGAAATTTAATTATTATAATATATTATAGATTTGTAGTATGATTACTTAATTCATTATACATTACATTATACTATATAGTGTGATCATATAATTAATATAATTTACATAATTAAATGATTACTTAATGATTATGACATTAATATACATTAGTAATTTACTAATTTGCACAATATTAATCGAATTATTATAATTTATTATTATAACTTATATATAAATTATGGTATGATTATTTAATAATTATAACATTTTATTATAAACAATATTATAATACTAATTAAATGATTAACAATTTAATTATTATAATATTACATTTTAATTAAATAATATATACTTATTAATTATAACATTACAATTACATTGTAGTATGATCACTTAATTAATATAACATTACAATTTACTTGTAGTATGATCACTTATTTAATATAACATTACTTGTTTCTAATATTAATTTACTAAATTATATTTGATATTTTTAAATACCCAATTACCATTATCATTAAATTGATAAATTTATAAACATTAATATTTATTACTTATCAAATAGACCCCTAGCAAATGGCAATGTTAGTAATTAGTATTAAGAATTGTTGTTTATTTAAATGATTTTGGTGAGTATTTATGTGAATTGTGATGAATAATTGTTTGTGTTGGTTTTGATTGACGAATTTTATGTGAATTGTGATGAATTGGTTGAATTCAAGCGTTGCTTAGAGATTACAGGTTTGAGTTCATTGCAAATGAATGAATAAAAATTTGTAGGGGTGTATTTGTAAACTTATAAGGTGTTTTTGTTATTTTTTAAACTAATAGGGGGTAATTGATTTTTTACAGGATACCCTGGAAAGGAACCGGAACCTGCATTTTAGGTTCCGTTCTTGAATGAAGAACCTGTATATATACGGTTCCGGTTTCGGTTCCTTTTTTGGAAACCTATATTGTGCGGTTCCGATCTGATTTTTCAAAAAAGTACAGGATACCCGAAACCGCTCACCCC